GAAGGAAGGGAGGGAGGGAGGGAGGGAGGGAGAGAAATGCAAACTCCTAGATCCCACTGCAGCCCTACTGAAGCAGATCTACGTTTTAGCAAGCAATGGGGGTTTTAAAGATATGGCCACAAATTATTTGATACTCCTCAAGAGATGGAGCTTAATTCCTGTCCGTTTGAGTGTGGGTTAGACTTAGCTCAAGCTTCTAACAAAGAAGAGTGTGGCCAGGTCTACAGCCATACCACCCTGAACGCGCCCGATCTCATCAGATCTCAGAAGCTAAGCAGGGTTGGGCCTGGTTAGTACTTGGATGGGAGACCGCCTAGGAATATAGGGTGCCGTAGGCTATTAAAAAAAAAAATGTGACCAGAAGTCATAAGATCTCACTTCAGAGATTAGTTTGTAAAATAACTGGGGTCCTACAAAATACCTGACCAGTACTTCTCAAAACTATCAAAGTCATTCAAAATAAGGAAAGCCTGAGGAACTGTCACAGTCAAGAAGACCCTAAGGAGATATAACAACTAAATACAATGTACTATCCTGGTTGGGATGCTGGAACAGAAAAAAGGATATTAGTAATGAGAAATGTTTGAGGTGATTTGATCACTCAACATTGTCACTATATACCCCATAGATATGTACAATTATTATGTGTCAAACAATTTTTAAAGGATGTTAGGATAGGGAGAGATTTGTTAAAGGATACAAAATTATAGCTATATAGGAGGAATAAGTTCTAGTGTTCTATAGCACTGTAGGGTGACTATAGTTAAAAAGAATGTATTGTATAGTTTCAAATAGATGGAAGGAGAATATTGAAGTTCCCAACACAAGGAAATGGTAAATGTTTAAGATGATGAATGCTAATTACCCTGATCTGATCACTGTAACTTCATGAATATGTACAACTATTATTTGTCAGTTTAAAAATACAATTAGAAATTTAAAAAATAGGCCAAGTGCAGTGACTCATGCCTGTAATCCAGCACTTTGGGAAGCAGAGGTGGGCAGATCACCTGAAGTCAGGAGTTAGAGACCAACCTGGCCAACGTGGTGAAACCCCATCTCTACTAAAAATACAAAAAGTAGCCGGGCATGATGGCGGGCACCTGTAACCCAGCAACTCAGGAAGCTGAGACAGGAGAATCACTTGAATCTGGGAGGCGGAGGTTGCAGTGAGCTCAGATCGCGCCATTGCACTTCAGCCTGGGTAACAGAGTGAGACTCCATTTCAAAAAAAAAAAGAAAAGAAAAGGAATCTTAAAAATAAAGTTAATATAGGCAATCATTCCAGCTAAAAGGAATAAAATGTTATAAAAACAAATGGACAAAGGGATATTCGGTAAAACTAAGGAATTCTAAATAAAGTATAGACTTTGGACCAAATTTGTTTAATAATAATGTATCAATATTGGTTCATGAATTATAGCAAATGTAACATATTAATGCTCTCTGCCTCCCTACCTGTCTCCCACTCCCCACCTCTCTCTCTATTTCTCTCTCTCTCTCTCCTATGATCCTCCCCCTGTGGAGCCTTGAGATGACAAAGCTCTAGCTAACGCCTTGATTGACACCTCATTGTAACCTTGAGAGAGACCCCGAGTCAGAATCACTCAGCTAAGCAGCTCCTGGACTACTTCTACCCCCAGAAATCCTCGCAGTTTGTTGTAATAAGTGTTCGTGGTTTCTAGCAGCTAAGTTTCTAAATAATCTGTTATGCAGCAACAGTTAACTAATATACAAGCCCTCCAGGTAATTCTTTTTTTTTTTTTTTTTGAGACAGAGTCTTGCTCTGTCACCCAGGCTGGAGTGCAGTGGTGTGATCTTGGCTCACTGCAACCTTCACCTCCCAGGTTCAAGCGATTCTCCTGCCTCAGCCTCCTGAGTAGCTGGGATTACAGGTGTGTGCCACCACGCCTGGCTAATTTTTGTGTTTTCAGTAGGGACAGGGTTTCGCCATGTTGGCCAGGCTGGTGTCGAACTCCTAAGCTCAGGCAATCTGCATGCCTTGGCCTCCCAAAGTGTTAGGATTACAGGCATGAGCCACTGCGCCCGGCCACCTCCAGGTAATTCTGATGCACCTCCAGTGTGAAAACCACTGTCCTACCCTAACCACTCTAACCTTACTCCCTATTCCTTCCAGCTAATGCTTCAGATCTCAGTGTAATCATCACTTAAATGGAGGCCTTCCCTGACCATAAAGTCAATTTATTCTCCTTGCCCTATGTTTTCTTGATTCTCTCTGCTTCCCACTGTAACTCTCCAACACTTTGTTATAATTTGATCAATGCCTGTCTTCTACACTAGACTTACGCCCTGGCAGGACTGGGACCAAGTCTGGTGTACTCACTGGTTCATCCCCAGTGCCCAGCATAACTAACAGTCACTGTTTAGGTCCACAACAAATGTGTATTAAATACATAAAAACCAACAAAAGTAACAACCAAACCTACCCCAAATCACATTCCTTCTCAACAGCTGCTATAGAACATTAGAACTAGGCAATGATAGTTTTCTGAATAATTTAAACGATAATGGATACTTTATTAAATCATAATATGATACAGCCAAAATCCAAAGTAGAGTGGAATAGATGATTAAAAAAAAAAAAAAAAAGATCTATCTCACTAACTAGTGGATGTTGTTACAAAATACTTCCGTCACTATTTGACTGGGGTATGATATCCCGCTCTCCTTGTCTTTTCTTCCTCCTTCTCTCTTGATTCTCAGTTAATGTTTTTTAAGCAACTGTTGTGTGCTCTGTGAAAGCACTTATGTTGTCACTTCACAGTGAATACGATGGATGAATATTATCCTCATTTTACAGGTGAGTGAGCTAAGACACAGAAAGGTTAAAATAGTTTAAGTTTATACAACTTGTAAATGGCAGGCTGGATTTGAATCCATGTCTCCTGACTCTCAATTCGATGCTCTCTTGTAATACCAGCCTGCCTTTTTAAAACAAAATAGACTTTATTTTTTAAATAATTTTTAGGGCTGGGTACGGTGGCTCATGCCTGCAATCCCAGCACTTTGGAAGGCCATGATCATCCTGGCCAAGATGGTGAAACCTCGTGTCTCCTAAAAAAATTACAAAACTTAGCCAGGTGCAGTGGTAGATGCCTATAATCCCAGCTACTTGGGAGGCTGAGGCAGGATAATCGCTTAAACCTGGGAGGCGGAGGTTGCAGTGAACTGAGATCATGCAGCTGCACTCCAGCCTGGACAACAGAAACTCTGTCTCAAAAAAAAAAAAGAAAGAATTGTTAGGTTCACAGCAAAATTGAATGGAAAACACAGGGAATTCCCACATATCCCCCTGAGACACGCACATCCTCTTCCACCATCAACATCCCCTACCAGATCGGTGCATTTATTATAATCAAGGAACCCATATTAACACATCATTATCATCCAAAGTCCATAGTTTACATTAGGATTCACTCTTACTGTTATACATTTTGTGGGTTTGGACAAATGTATAATGACAGGTATCCACCATTATAGTATCATACAAAATAGTTTCACTGTCCTAAAATTCCTCTGTGCTCTGCCTATTAAACCCTCCCTTTCTTCTGACCACTGGAAACCATTGATCTTTTCACTGTCTCTAGTTTTGCCTTTTCCAGAATGTCATATAGTTGGAATCCTACCAGATGTGGCTTTTTCAGACTGGCTTCTTTTACATGGCCATATGCATTTAAAGTTTCTCAGTGTCTTCTCACGGCTTAAGAGCTCATTTCTTTTTAGGGCTAAATAATATTTCACCGTGTTGGATGTATCACAGTTTATTATTCATTCACCTACTGAAGGACGTCTTTGTTGCTTCCAAGATTTGCCAGGCACCTTTCAATTTTAAGAGTGGGAAGTGAGATGGTGAAAATAAGTGAACTAGTGGATCAGGGGTTACTTAGTAAAGCTTCACTAAATTAACATCTTTAATCAAATGTGTGTATGATTTGAAGGAGTAGCTCTTTTCTCCCATGTCTAGATTCTGGATTTTTTAATTTTTAAAATGTTTTTATTTTTAATTCTTATGGATACATAATAACTGTATATACTTATGGGGTAGGCTTTTTTCAGCAAACTTTTTTGGATGGCCCAAACCCTCTTGAAGCCTGTTGATCCTGGTCCTTTTGTTTCTAATTAGGGGGTTTCAGCCTTTCTATTCCTCCAAAAGAGATCAGAAAAGATTTTTTTTTTTTTTTGAGACAGAGCTCTGTCACTCAGGCTGGAGTGCAGTGGCGCAATCTTGGTTCACCGCAACCTCCACCTCCCGGGTTCAAGTGATTCTCATACCTCAGCCTCCCAAATAGCTGGGGTTACAGGCACATGCCACTGTGCCTGGCTATTTTTTTTTTTCTTGTATTTGTAGAGATGGGGTTTCACCATGTTGGCCAGGCTGGTCTCAAACTCCTGACCCCAGGTGATCCACCTACCTTGGCCTCCTAAAGTGCTGGGATTACTGGTGTGAGCCACCGCGCCTGGCCAGAAAAGATTTTAAGTACAGGGATGATGTGAGAGGATAATTTATTGAGAAATTAAATCTATGTTTTGATTTTGCTGCTCTTAGAGGTGCAGAAAAAAGGAGTCGCTTATCTTCCCCAACCTAAAACAGTGGCGTCTTTGGCTCTAGGCTTTGGGCTGCTATGCCTTAGAGATCTCATTAGCTGCTTATGTGCAATGGGGTGCTTTGGTTTCTAGGACTGAAAACAGAAGTTGGAAGATAAAGAAGACATTTTGGTTACCTCTATAAAATCCATTCCTTCTTCTATTGGTAACTACTCCCACTTTTGTTCACTTCCCCAGGCAGTGCCTTTGAGCCTTGGGAGGAAAATAACCCATCTTGGTCGGTTGTAGTCATGATACATATGGACCAATCTAAAAACTAATGAGCTTAATTCTGATTGCTGGCCATGGCTTCTGGTTCAAGGATAGATACTTGACCCAACTTAGGCCAATGGTATAGGAGGAGACATTTCTCGGGAGCTTTTATGAAAGAGACTTGCTGCTATTCTGAGGAAGCTTCTAAGCACCTCTCTCAACCTCTCGCTTTTCTCCTTCTCTCTTCCTACCCCATCCCCATCTCTGGGTGCACTCAAGGAAACATGTGATACCTGGAGTCTAGTAGACAACCATTTTGTGGCCAGAGTGAAGCTGACTTTGCAGAAAGCAGAGCAGAAATGAGAAGAAACTGGGTCCTCAATGACTTTGTCAGGGCACTAAATCAATCCAACGTTTCTCTGGAAGCTTTCTCTGAACTTCCAGTTACATGATCCAGTACGGTTTTATGGTTTAGGCCACCTTAAGCATATTGATATTACTAGAGTCAAAACTATCATAG